TTGAGTTATCCTTGATTTTTATATAGTGAGAACTACTGTTTATTTTCCAGGTTGTACAGACTATTGGAAAGTTTTTTATAATACATTCATGTTTACTTAGAAATACGTTTTACTGTAGTCTGTTATCATAAGTTATCATCTTCCCAAGTTATTCAAATTCTACTGAGTTGTTTTGACAACATTTACTCCAAAAGAATCATAGTTTTTATGGCTACTTGATATTAATTTTATTCTTTGTTCCTTTTTTACAGCTTACAGCGGTCAATGACAAAATGGCAGAATACACAAACACACCGGGAGCTTCGTCGCATAACGCAGCGTTGATGCACACCTTACAGAGACACAGAGACATTTTACAGGTACATGCAGTTACTTCACTTTCACATGCAGTTTGTATTTACACATGTATGTCGTTTTAAGTATTTTGCATATTTACAAGAAGAAAGATTTGTGAAATATTAATACATTTTTGCTTAGCGACTACCTGTTCTGTCAATATTATCCTTTTGCTGACTTTTATTTTATAATGTTTTGTCCTATAGGACTATACTCATGAGTTCCACAAAACCAAAAGCAACTTCTTCAGCCTGCGAGAGCGAGAGGACTTACTAGGCTCTGTTCACAGAGACATTGAGTAAGCACCTTCATACATCTCCTGACCATAAAAGACATTGTTTTTTATTAGCAAATTCAACGTTATCCTCAAATGGTTGTCTTTATTCAACATGATGTTTGCCTGTCTTGTGCAGGATACCTGTTTGGATGTATGTCATGCAAAAGAGCTACTGATAAAAATTGACAATGCAAAACACCGCTGCTAGAGTCTCACAAGATCTAAGAAGTTTGATATAAAACGTGAAAATGTCCTGATGTCTTTGGACTGGCTACCAATTTAATAGTTTTTCCAGTGAAAAGGAAAATTGTGATGCAAAAATTATTATTGCCACTAATTGTGAATCATACTGCAATCATAATATCTGTCAAAACAATCACAATATGATTGTTTTACAATATTGTGCAGTTAAAAGTGTTAGGTTTGTAACTTGTGATTATTTTCAGTATTGATTTATCTATTAGTTTTTTTCTTGATTAACTGTTTACACTATAAATGCTCATTACAAGTCCCCAGAGCACAAGGGGATCTATTCAGATTGCTTGTTTTGTGCAGTGTCAGAATCAAAATATATTCAATGTATTATGGCAGAAACCTGCTAATGTTTTTACATTTGAAAAGCTGGAACCACTGAATATTTTGGCATCTTTGCTTATAATATTACGACCATTAATTGATGGATTGTTGCACATTAATTTTCATATCAAATCTTGGACAACTTCTGCTGTGTCATCCTTAACCAGGGGGAGGCACAAATGTCCAGTTTATTGTTGAATTCCCCCACCCTTTGATAGTCTCCATTTCTTCTATCATGTGTCATCCTCTAATAAGAGGCACCTCCTTTTATCAGCTGATCACCCTCCCTCTCTCCGTCGGTCTCTCTCTCACTGTCTGTATGTCTCTCTCTCTGGGGATATCTTTCCTAAGTGCATTCTACAGTAAATCAAACCACAAGGCTTTCATTCAGCCAAAGCGGAGGGAGTGTGGTTACATCTGGCCTCTGCCTGATACAGAGAAATGCTTTATCAGGGGAGGAGATGTAGAGCAAGACAGAGAGAAAGAAAGAGGGAGACATGGTCCTGGTCTGATGTTGACTGATTCAAAAAACGAGAGTGAATTGTAATTATTCTCACAGAGATAAGAGGTGTGGAAGAACAGTGAAGGGAGAGGTCAACAGAAGAGGTAATGGATGATGAATTGATGATCAGTCCAAATAAGGAGGGGATGGTGTAAATAAGAGATGGAGGACAGAGTTGTGGGTTAAGCAGAGCTAATCACTTAAAAGCATTAACGCAGGAAGTACATAATCAGCATCCAGGCATCAGTTAAGAGGAGGCAGCGAAATACTACTTTCAGATTAAAGCAAAGACTTGTTTTTTATTCTGTTAGCTAATTGCAAAGCTGCAAAGCTGAAACTTGATTACGGAGGGTGAGGTGTTGCTTTTGGTTTATGATGAAACAGCCAAATAAGTTAAACTACCGGAACCAACTAAACCACCAAATAGAGCCAGATCTCATGGGGAATGCATACATATTCGAAAATAAATGTTAACAAACCTCAAAGAACTACATTTGGCCAGGATAGTTATTTGACAAATTAAATGTGATATTTCTTTTAAAATGTCACCTTTTGTTGGCTTTGTGTGAACAGGGTTAATATTAATGGTCATGAAAACATGTTGACAACATTAGAGAGACCATTTTGAATTTGCAGACCCAATTAAGGACATCACTGATGGGCACCTATAATTTTCAGTTGACCAATAATCAATAATCTACTATGAATGAATAAATGATTCATGAAATTTTGGTTTATTTTACTGTATTTATGACTTTCACGACAAAGATGGCCCTGTTCGTGAATGGGAGGCTTATGAGGGATTATGCCCTCGTCCCGTCCGTTTTCTCTTTCTCTCAGTCTCTCTCTGTAATATAAATATTTTTTTCGTGGGGGCATCGGGTGTCCTAGTGGTAATGATTAGTCCATAGTTGCATCCTAGCCAGGTACCTTTGTTGCATGTCACATCTCTGGTGTTTCCTGTTTGGATCTCTAACAGTTTCTATCAAATAAACACAAAAAAGTGTTTCATTTGCTGTATCATATTACTGTTCAATTCAACCCACAGATCAATCATTTGATGTCCCTCTCTCTTCTGTTTTCTTACTCAGGTCCTACAAGAGCAGCTCAGGAGTGAATAACAGAAGGACCGAGCTCTTCCTGAAGGAACATGAGCATCTCAGAAAGTAAGAGATTTCTTAACAAACAACTTATCACTGGAACAGAAATTAATATTTGTGTTTTCAAGAAGGCCAAAAACGTTGTCCTAAATCCCTTCCTTTTTACTGTATAGTTCGCCCTATTTACTTTTCACCATTTTATTTGATTGTTTGAGTTCTGAGCGTGATGTTAATGCTCTATACGTGGTGCCCTGAACATTTTCCACAATGTAATGAGAACATAAGTGGAGTTGTAGATTGTATCTAGTTTTCTATTGAACGTTTATCTCCATTAAGGCAATGACTCCTCTGGTATCAGTGCATGTGGAGATGTGCATGAGGTGTCATTTCCATAAAATGATGCACCTACAAGTTCTTAGAAAGCCCGTAATATATTCCTTATTATAAAACAACGTAGCCTTTGTTCCAAAACTAGCATATGAAGGTTGTTTAGGAACATGTTGGGTTACCTGGTTGGGACTGAGTGGGCAGTTTGGTGTGAAATATGACCAGTACACGTGTTTCTGTTTGTGTGTGGTTATGCGTACATGCACATCTCCACGTCAGTGGTTTACTGGACATGTTGTTAATCATGTTTGTGGTTGATAATAGATTTCTCATGCACTTTCACGTGACTGCACTCAAACAGAGAAAGATTAACACAATATAAAATGCAGAAGTAAGACATTGTGGTGAGAAATAGGTTTCAGAGATAATCTACTGGAGGAATAGAGACCATTCTTCCAAAATATATTTCCCCATTTGGTGTTTTGATGAGTGTTGTCGAACACTTTGTTCCAAAATGTCCCATAAGTGAGGTTAGTTAGGTTGAGATCCTGTGACTGTGATCTTACAATTTTCAAATCAGGTCACATTATAGCTGAGGCAATGTGGAAGTGTCCCATAAGGTATTAGGCTTCTTCTGATTATTAAATGTCATAGCTTTCCATAACTGTGCACTGGGGAAGATGTAGGCAAAGACATTATTGAGTTATATTATGGTAAATACAATATTTAACTTTTTTTTCTCGTACTAGAGGCTGAAAATTAGAATAACATGTCTATATGTGCAAGTGTTTGTGGTTATGTGTACATGCACATATGCATGTCTATGGTTTCCTGGACACTTGTTCATCACGTTTTCTTGTGGCTGATATATTTCCTACGGACTCTCATGACTGCACTCAACCAGAGGAAGGTTAACAGACAAAGAAAATAAAAGGGCTGAAGTAAAAGAGAGGATGTGGTGACAAAAAGGAGCAGAAGACATCAAGTGAATCTCAGCTGCTCGCAGCAATGTGTCCATCTTTTAATATTTTGTCCGATACTCATATTTACCTAAATGTTGACTAAAGTTGTATCTGACTATGGCTCCCCTGACTAAAGATTTTCCTAGCTGACTAGCAGTTGTTAGTCGTAGCACATTTAAGATATTAATTATTATTATTTAAATATATATATTTTAACAGCTGCCTGTTAAATGATGAACGGAAAAGGCAGTAATGAATCTGAACAACCAGCAAAGAGACTGAGCTATAGTTCATTTATTTCAACACAGTATGACATCATACAAATCTTGTTCAAAACATGGAATAAATAACTTCTAACTGCACAAAAACAAATACTGACGGACTTATCGACACAATGGATGATGTATAACGTTAACAGTTACTTACAAATTAACTCAAATTTAACAAATTTGCTCCTCTTCCTCCGTTTGATGCGTCTCCTGACGCTGCCTGAACCCACCGTTTTTTTTTTTGTTTTTTTTTTTCAACTAATGAGAAGTGGCTCGACTCTTCTCAGCGACTAACAATTAAGTCGACTATTAAGGAGCGGCCCTGTATTTGACACAACAGCTGTACAACCTACCTACTACTGTCAAAAGCTACTTGATACAAATACTGCTTCAAAAATATTATGTGTATAAACTTAAATTATAGATGTGATATGAAAGAAGGATTAATTGGGAAAGTGTGACGCGATCCACTAGAGAGAAGATATGCTAGTTTGTTTGAGTTGTTGGAACTACACACCTTCACACACCTAAATTTTCACTGGTATGTGAGAACTGTACAGCCCAGGTCTTGTGAAGGGTAGCCGCACTGCAGCACCAGCAGGCTGAGGTGGATACAGCAGAGTAGAGTTCACTAAAGAAAGCATCAGATTTTAGTCGGCTTTATTTTAGTCGGCTTTATTTTAGTCGATACTGATGCATTAAAATATCTCTCTAGTTATTAGGTTTCTTAGTAAAGTATTGGGCTACCACAAGCCTCCAGAACAACTGCAGTGCTTCATGTTATACATTATAGTTCAAGTCTGTAAACTGTACTTGAGGGAAAGACGCCATTATTCCTAAATATATTCCTGATTTGTTTTGATGATGGTGGTGAAGAGTGCTGTCTAACACTGTGAGAGAGACTGTGAAAGCCACAACATATGATTCGTAGAAAGTCTACCACTTTGGTCCAGACTGAATTATCTCTCTCAATTATTGGATACATTGAAATACAATTTTGGACATGATGAGTAGGGGATGGGTCCTGATGATTTGGTTAATGTTCAACCCTTTTCCACTTTTCATCACGGTCACTATGAAATTTTATATCCAGCAGCACTGCGGCTGGTGAACAATGGTCTCAGTGAAATTGATAGCATTTTTAAACTGAGAGCCCTTCTCCCAAAGAGCTTCAAAATGGCAGATTTATCATGTTTTGTTTTTAATGTAGTATTTTTAGCATAGTTCATTTCCTAAACATAATAAATTATTGTAAAATGTTAACATGTAGTAACTTATGTAGTAACTTATTACGTATTGTAATTATATGATTCTCAGTAGGGATTTATCCTATTCACTTCCTAACCCACCTTTATACAGTATACTCCTTATATAAACCAAATAATAAAAACTCCTTTTTCCTTTTACTTCATTACTTACAGTAAAAACTATCACAATCACCAGCAGTGAGGTAAGGTTTGGTCAGAGTAATATAATGTAATCCTGAAAACAGATTTCTTATGCATACATGCATCTTGTACATTCTCCTCCACAAATAATTGTTTCCCATTTAGATTACCATTCACCTAAATTAAAATAAATAAATATTACAACTACGGTGGCGTTTTAAACAATGCCAGAGATTCTCTTAATACGTACAGTTACGTATACAGCACCATGTGTTTTCAGCTATATTTATTGTGTTTAGTTGAAATTATTGTGCTTGATAACTTTTTCACACCACTTACACCACCATATACAAGCTGTGTTGTTAGTTGTCAGAGGTGACACTTTCCAAGGTAGTTCAGTAAAGACAATAAAACTGTAACGTCAAACAAAGTTTATTATGAGACAAAGACACAATTGTAAAGAAAGGTAATAAAACTGAGGCAAAAAAAGATTTTTAAACATGACATCTTCACTGATGTTATGTCATATACAGTAGTAACATTTGTTACACAATGTTGCTGTCATATTGGCACTGTGGTCCATGATCCTTTCAACTGGGAGAGAAAGAGGTGGAGAAAAGCACACAAAGTCACAGAAACAGTAACAGTAAAGTTAAAAGATAATGCCTGTGTGCTTGTAAATAATACGCCTGCAAATACAAAACATGTACTTGAACACATCCAAACTGTGTCATTGTGAAGACTCACCCTTATGTTAGTTAATGTTGATATTGTTCCCAACACCAAAGCCTCCTGAGTTAAACCCAATCCCTGCGTTGCTTGCGTTGCCGATGTTTATTTCAACTCCTTTGCCTCCTGTTGATTTACAAAGAAAAACAAATTAAATAAAATCACATTAACTGTTATTTTTTAATGTGCATATTCTAGTCTTATACATCAGTCAGAGAGCACGAAAGCTACAAGCACCTTCCCAGCTATACAGGACACAGGACTTACCATTCACATTGCAGTTGTTCCCAACGCCAATATCTCCTACATTGTCTCCAACCATCATGTTACCTATGTTGCCAATACCTATCTTGACTCCTTCTCCTCCTGTTACAAAGAATATGTGTAAGTGTTCATACTGACAGTTATGGGGGGAAAGGTTGGATTGTTTGGCAAAAAGTTTAAACTTGATCAACATTTGCTACAGTGCAATGTGAGGTCATCCAGCAAGGCCAAAAAATATAAATATTGTTGTAAAATATATATTAAAGGTTATATATGGGATGTAAAATGTTAATATAGCAGCAAACATCTATTTTCTATCTAAATATATAGTGGAGTCCTGAAATGACTTCCCACTGCCTTTGCCTGTGACTCTGTGAAATAAGGGTTTATTTTTACCAGACGAGTGTTGGTGATTGTTGGAAAGTCTGTGGAAAGACTACAAAAAGTTTTGTATATAACCTTAAAATGTCAATATCCATGTGAGTCTCAAATCAAGTGTCAGTGGGTCTGTATCAAAAAACCCCATACAGTGTTTTGCTGTCTTATAAGCCTTTCATTACCAAACTGTCCTTCCTGGATTATTGTTCAATGTTGAACTAACTGTATTACCTGAGTACCAACGCACTGCTGTTTTCAGTCTGTATCTAGTAACAAAACAAACATCATGAATGTGTCCATGTCTGCCAACTTCTCACCCATTACATTACAGTTGTTCCCTGCACCAATGTCTCCTGTGTTGGCTCCAGCATTCATATTACTTACGTTGCCAATATCAACTTTGACTCCTTTTCCTCCTGTTGAAATACAATGAATGATAAATCCTAAAAAATCCTATATACTTACATGTTGAGTGTACAGAATGTAATCTTACTACAAAAGTAACAAACCAGAAATCATAAATGGGCCCATTTTTATTAACTTCCCTACAATATGACTCGCAGTACTCACCGCTCACATTGCAGGTGTTCTTTGCACCAATGTCTCCTTCATTGTCTGCAACAGTCATGTTGGTTATGTTGCCAATATTGACAGCTTTTCCTCCTGTCAAACCCAAAAATAATAAATAGATGTAACCACATAGCTGTTAATCGTACTGCACAGATGATTCAAATATTTGAACATGAGTT